TAAGAAGTCTAAAAGACACTTCCACCAAGATGCATTATGAGCATTTTAATTAAAAATGACGTCTGTTAGAATTTTACTTACTGTATTTCAGCTCCATTTACCTGACCGAGAGACAAAAAATGGAGTGGTGATCCCATAATTCTTTTCTTACCATGTCCTTTTAGTATTTCTATGAAAAGCATTTTAAAATAATCATTGCTTGTGATACAAAATAATAGAATTATTAATAAAAGAAAGGCCACTAAATTAAACTGCCAGGGCCAAAAGGAGAAAATAACTGGTCTCCAGCATGGGGTTGGGCCAGTGAGAATGCTCCTCGCAAGGCCTGGCCAGCAGGTGGCACAGCCCCCCAGCCTGTCAGTACCACTGCCCCTTGAACTCCACCTGGGAGCCCGGGTAGGTCAGCAGTTTCTTCATCTGATTAGTTTCAGGAAAGTTTTAGTTAAGAGTCCCTCCCTTTTTACTTCCTTGCCTCCCTCCCTTTGTCCTTCCTTCCTTTCTTCTCTACCCTGACCCCCACCCCCACCCCTGCCCTTAATTTACTGGAGGGATGACTGCTTTCAAGGAGATTGAATTAGAAATCATTACTGTGAGTCTCTCCCAAGGGCAGGAATTACAACCTATCCTCCTGTGACAGAGAGCATGTAATTAATCCAGGTTCCTGGAAACAAAGTCGATTTGGAAATGAATCTAGAAAAAGAATGGGTGGCATGCGAGGCAAATCTACTCTTTATCGCGTCATTTTTCCCTCCCGACTTTATTGAGGTATAATTAACAATTACAAAGTGTATATATTTAAGGTGCACAAGGACTGGGGGAGGGGAATGGGGAGATTCTAAACAAGGGGTACAAAGTTTCAGTCTTTTTTACCTTAATAAAAACAGGCTAGTCTGGCAAAGACAGACATCATGTAGATGGGGAAGCAGAGGTTTGAGAGTTAGTTAGACCTTAGCTATTGGAAAATTATTTCTGTAAGTTAATCATAGCCCATTTCCAACAGTCTAATACATGTATTCCCCCCCTAAGCTTTAAAAGTTAAGGTAGAACATACAAAGTGGCCGTTTGGACCACAACTTTCTCCTTCCTTCTTCAAGTAACCACTATTCTGACAGCTAACAGCATAGAATAGTTTTGTCTCTTGTTTAAATAAATGAAATATTAGAATATGTGTTTTTTGAGATTGACTTCTTTTGCTCAAATTATGTTTGTGAGCAGTGTTCCAGCTGTGCAGCAACTGGAGTTTTCTCATGTCTTGAGAAGGCAAACATTTCTTCTGGAAGAAATACAAGACACATGTATGCCTGGGCATGAATTAATCGTACACTATTTTCTTTTATAGCTGCAGAGGGATGTTGAAGGTGGTAGTTGCCCAAGGTCATGAAGGGAATAATGGAAAGTCTGGGAGGAAAACTATAGAAAAGGCACATTGCTCGAAAGACTAATTTTGCTTAGATAATAGTATTTGTAAGATAAGAATCGATGTCAAATATCTTTAGGAATTTGCGGGTCAATCTAACCTCTAGGACCTTGGTAATATCAACAGTAAAATCCAATAACAATATGTCCTCCTTTCTTCTTTCCCTATATTAAATATAGCCTGTGTTAAATGTGTATTAAATGTACCCTGTATTAAACGTGTTCTGGGCTTTTTAGCACAGAGTTGCTAAAGTCTTCCTGGATGGATGATTTCATTGAAATATTTGATGCATACACTACTAAACCTACTATAACCTTAGACAGGTATGATGATATCTCAATAAGAACCCACTTCATTAGCCAAGAATAAATTGCAAGCCATTACAAAGTATTTTAAAGGCAATAAGAAATGCTTGGGCTCTCAGCTTTGCATAAATATGTAAGACGTGGTTTTCAGATTCTGAAGGAAGCAAGTACTCTGCAAGCAGTGACAGATGTGGAAAGTAATCAAGCTTTCAGTATGTGGTGCAGGAAGGCACAATTCACCTCTGTTTAAATGCCTCACCCTTCAAAGAGATGCCCAAGTGGCTGGAGGCTTCTCCACAGAGGTAAGATTGAGACATCAAGATTTGCAAGGGGAAAACAGACATCTGGGAACAAACCAACATCTTTACTGAGACAGGTCAGATCCTGGATACAAACCAAAAAAACAAAAACAAAAACAAAAACCAAAACCAAACGGGGTGATGAGATGAGGGGAATAGTTGGAGAGAGGAGAGCAGGGAAAAGGGAAAGATTATGTAGAACAAATCCATGGGAAAATAATAGGAAAGGTTTTGAATAGAAAAAGAATGGTGGACAGTTGGAGAGAGGGGACTCAGGGCCCAGGAAATTTGACTCTGAAACCATAAGATCCTATTCAAAATGCTTTATTTAATCAGATCTCAGTATTTTCACTTGTGAAATGGGAAAAGTAAAACCAATATGCTTTCATTACTTGCAGATGATGTATCTGTCTCTATGCATTTATCTTCTTGCCTATCTACATCAGATTTTATCTCTCCAAATTAGTAGTAGGACTTACCTCACTGTCAATTTCATTGATTGTTCTTATACAGGAGCCCAGGCTGTTCTCAAATGAATAAGTGCTGTTCACTAATCTGACTTTCACCAGCCCACCTAGTTCTGACCTGAGAACAGGTTCTCACACAGATCTCATTAGTCCTTGGTTCTGTTTGTCCTCCTGCCCTCATTACAAGGTAAGAGGGCCTTTTTTGATGCTAGGAATATGACAGGTGGGCATCTGCCAGCTCCACGGGCCCATGGTTTAGGGAGCACATTCACTGACAGAAAATACGATCTCCAAAGAATGCCTTTGTGGTCAGGGAGGATCATTTATAGCTTCTGACTCAGAAGGTTTCAAGTATAGAGCGAACATCACTATTAACACTAACTCAAATGAGCTCTACAGGAAAGAGAACTATAAAGTCTTGGCCTTTTTTTAAGGTCATATTGGTTCTCCTTTCTGACTGCAGGGTCTTCCCCCTCTGATTTTTTTCTTTCAAAAGAAATCATGGTCCAACATCCCTGAAGCAATACAGACCTTGCTTTTCAGAGCCTTGTGTGGGTACCCAGACTACTGCTTCATGGATGTAAATTCATCCTCTTCCATACTTTTAAGTCCCTACCTCTTCAGACTTCACCTGCCCCCTCCTGCTGCGTTTCCAGGAGCCCACTGGAAAACCCTTTATTAGTTGGACTAGTTTGTTTACATCTCATGTTTGTCCTTTGCTCAGTCTTCGTTTATACTATGTCCCCACCAGAAACATTCTCTCATTGAATCCCACCATGCCAGAACTTGAAGACCCACAGCTAGTCCTATTTTTTTCCACGAAACTTTCTTTGAATACCTAGCCCTCAAGGAGCTCCCTTCTCTCCTCTGAATAACAGGGCTATTTTATGTAGTATAGTGCTGGTTAACCATATTGGATTACATCTTCGTTTGTACATGTTAGTTTCTCCAGACTATTTGAGTCAGGGATCAGGTCTACCCAGAATGGCAGATAAGGCTACTTTTTCTAATTTGTCTACCAGAGGAGGTTCTCCCTGCTAATGCACACGAAGGCACAGTATAAGCCAGCTTCAGCCCTCTCCTTCCCTTGTAATCAATGTTAGATATGCGCAGACCAACCTAGCTGCCATGGGGAGATACCACAGAGAGTTCCTCAAGAGGAAAAATAATCTTCCTAGAACCCCATGAATGATACCACTCATCAAATTCTCTCTTTCTAGACACCATCTTTTATATATACTAAAAGTGGACAAAGCCTTCCAGATAAAGCAGAACACAAGGAAGCAAAGAAAAAGCCACCAAATTCAACTTCTGAGTCAGATGGTTCAGCAACACTTGTGAAAAGTCCTAGAAATACAACCAGATTGTATTGTACAGTTTGAGAACAGGAAGACAGAATGGCCAGGTGAGCTGGCCGAAGAAATTGCAGATAATGCAGAGGGGAAAACAGCAACTGGGATGCAGTGATTGCTTCCCACACAAACTGTAGCAAGTCTAGCCCTGAGGTAGAAGAGTAAAGACCTGAAAGGGCAAAGAAATAAACTGTGCACCTTGGGGCACACAGATTTCCTCTCTTGGCCTAAAAGGAGTTTCCGTCTTTGGTCCTTTAGTACGTAAGTCATGTTTATTATTGTGAAGGACCACCTGAGAGGAAGGGGTGGGTAATTGCAACCCACCATTTAGTATTAGCCTTGTTATCTGGGGAGTCACTCGATCTAGTTCTCCTATGCAAAATGGAGATCACACCCCTCTCTTATTCATTTGTTCATTTCTTCATTCATCTATTCACTAGATGTTTACTAAGGTCCTGCTATGGGCTGAGCACAAAGGACCACAAATGGTAAGCAAAACAGACACGGTATTTGCCCTTATGCCAAGTCCAGATCATCTCACGGCGTTGTTAGTTACAGAGAAGAAGGAAAGTGTCTTTGGGCTGTATAGCACCACAATGTGGTGGGTCTTCTTCATTATCAGTGGCTTCCGCTCATGCTCTAGCTGTGCGACCTGGGCAATTCCTATTTTTCCTGGGCTTTCCTATTCTTGTCTGTGAAATGAGAAAAGTTCCTGTCCTAAAACGGAAGTATTCCAAATGCACATGAAGAAGTTGAAGTCTTTAGGTACTTCTGAATCATGGCTCTAAAAGACTGTTATGAAACAGTTCAGATATACAAAGGATAAGACCCCCCCATTGTACCAACTACTTGACATAAGAGGAACATTACAAGGAGACCCACTGAAGGCAGCCTCCTTTTCCCAGGGGGAACAACTGTGATGAGTTTGATGTTTATTTTTCCGAATCATGGCCTTTCTAGGAAGCTTGTTGGTTTTTGTAGGAATGGTACATCACTTAGGTGTTCTTGGTGCTGGATGAATGAGGAGTCCTGACAGTGTCTGTCAGAGAAAGCTCAAGTGCCAGCCTATTCTCTCCCCGCCCACCCAGCAGACAGAATCAGGGAAACCACGGGGAAGATATCACCCGCTGCACTTAGAAGGTACCTAGTTTTGCATTTACCTTGAGGGCCTTCTGCGCAGATTCACTGGATCCAATTGCGATTAGGTTAGGCCCAGCCATGCTGCAGAAACTCTTCAAGTGCAAAGCATCAGTCACTGGGACTGTGGAGACCGCATAGTCCTATGCAAATAATAGAAACAAGCAGTTTGGCATTGCAGAATCCTCCTAAAACATATTCAAACCTGCCTGAGTCATGCTTGCCCCTCTAGAGGCTGCCAGGGGCCTGCATGTCTGGAAGGAAAAGTGGGATTTGTAGGTTTTGGTATTGCCAGGTAAATGAAGACTGCTTCTAAGAAGAAAGTGCAGAGCTGTCTTCCAGATGTGTGATCGTTGAGCTATGGAGTGGGCTCCTCTGAAAGGATGTGTTTAAACATCCTGTGCAAACTAGAGCCTCCCGTCTTCATGGGGAAGAGAGCTTTCTGGGGGTTCTATCCCTTCATAAGCCAACCTGTTAGTGATCAGTAGAGTGAAGGGAACTTGAGAGGATGTACCAGTATGTGCAATACCTAGCACAGTTGCCAGCACATAGTAGGCAACAAAGATCCTACAGATAGGATCAAGGGTGATCCTTGATTCCAATCTGAAAAATCCACATTTTAGGTTAAAGTCAATTGAGTCTCCAGATTTTTTTTTGTCGCTGATTGTGCCCTGAACTTCTGTGGTTATATGCTCATACACTGGGAGAAAACAGATGTCAATGATAACTTTCTTGCAGCTGTGGTAGCCTAATAAAGTCTACGTATTGAGAAACCTGAATGCGATAGCTTCTAAAACATCTAACAAACATACAAATGTTTGGAATTAGTTTGCAAAGCTGGTGACATATAAATACCATTACTCATGACTTAAGGACTCAGTGGGTCTATGAATATTTATTCATGACTCTGTGCCAGGCATACATTATCTTTCACTTACCTTAAAAGTATCAGCCAAGATTTCAGCACCCCGTTGATTTGTCCTTTTGGAAAGACCCACAAAAAATTCTCTGCCTATAACAAATGTCATGGGACATAGTGAGTAGGTGGCACCAATGACAGCACACTATTGCTTTATCTATAAATAATGACCTTAAAGCACCACACAGCTCTTTTGTATGCTGGGGGCAGGTGTGCTTTAACTCTGACCTCGGCTCTTTTTACACGAATCTGATATCAAACCATTACTCTTAGAAACAGGCTTTTTCAAATTCATAGAGATGGGAAATAGAAGAGTGGTTCCCAGGGAGTGGGGGAAGAGCCACTGGAGAGTCAGTATTCGGTGGGGGTGTGGTTTCAGCTGGGGGCAGGGAAAGCGGGCTGGTGGTGGACAGTGGTAACGGCGCCATAGCCACATGAGTGGGGTTAGTGCCTCTGAGCCGGGCACTGGAAAGTAGTTAAGTGGTAGATTTTATGTTGACTGTAGTTTACCACAATAAGAGAATTAAGTTTTTATTTAGGAAACCATAGAATTAAAGACATTAATAATCTGCAATCCGAAATTAAGTAGTAACGATGGCAAGTTAGTAGTGCTTCCTCTTTCTTTTCCTAAAAGCACAATTCTAGACATTCTTAATGAAGCTGGAGTCCTCTTCTGGTGGCAATGAAATAAAGGCTGAAGAAACCATCTGGGCATAAAGTGAGTATAGTGTCAACTGCTTTTCAGGTCTGACTCTGAGAACTGTCTTTAAAAAAACGATACGCATCCATTTATTTCAAACAAAAACATCAAAGATGCCTATCTACAAATAGTAAAGTTTAGGAAAATAAAACTTTCTTTGGTTTTCTGAAATTCCACAATTTTTCTTCTCTGAAAATAAAACACTAGAGAAAAATGGTCTCCTAGTTATAGGCAAACAAACAGTTATAGTGGATAGACTTAGGTAATACATAAGTGTGGGGATTTTTATCTTCCCTTAATTCTTTGAAAAAAGAATTCTACATGAAAGGAGGAAAAAATATTCAAATAGAACTCAGTATATATTTTTTTTTGCCCCAGAAGAGTAGGGTAAAGTATAAGAAGAGTAGCCATGTAGAAAAACTGCTTGATAGATTTTATAAATGCTATTACTTTGATTTTCATGATGTCCTTATAAAAGGGCTAAATAACATATGTTGAATGATGTTATGATAAATTTCAATGACTTGTGCTGTTGGCAGACACAGGAATCTTCAGTGGCAGATTGACATTTTGGGGGTAATGGTATGATTGTGTTGTGCCTTGAGAAAATTCACTACATACAAATGAAAACTTAAGTGCAGCAAAGGTCTTTTACTTGGCAAAAGTATGACTCAGTTTATTAATAAGTTAGCTGCAATGAAAAACAACATTAAATTTCCTTAATTAAGATACAGATAGATTTCCTAAGAACACTAAAACACCAATACAAAAGAACCTTTGCACACCGATGTTCATAGCAGCACAATTTACAATAGTTAGGTGCTGGAAGCAACCTAGATGCCCATCAGTAAATGAATGGATCAGAAAACTGTGGTACATTTACACAATGGAATTCGATGCAGCAGAAAGAAAGAAGGAGCTCCTACCCTTTGCAACAGCTTGGATGGAGCTGGAAAGCATTATGCTAAGCAAAATAAGCCAGGCAGTGAAAGACAAATACCATATGATCTCACCTTTAACAGGAACCTAAGCAAAAAAAATAACAACAAAGAAACAAGCAAAATATAACCAAAGACACTGAAATAGAGGACAGGCTGACAGTGACCAGAGGGGAGAGAAGAGGGAATTTCAGGGGAGAATGGGAAGGGTTTATAGGAACAAATTTAAAGGACACATGGACAAAAACTAGAGGGAGGGTGGTAATGGGAGGGAAGTAGGGAGGGATGGGTGGGTGGGTTGGAGTGGGAGTAAAAGGGAGAAAACTGTACTTGAACAATGATTAAAATAAAAAAAATTAAAAAAAGATACAGATAGATTTATAAACTGTACTTAATTTATAAAGAAAAACATTTAATGCATTAAGCAAATTCAAACGCATTTATAATAGGGCTTGCACACTATTTCTACTTTCAAAGACTAAAGTGAAGAAAGATAGAGAATTACGAAGAGACGCACACTGGTTACCTCTGAAAAGTAAGTTAGACTTCTGTTTGTTTTTTTTCCTTTATTTTTATTGTTGACATTATTACAGATGTTCCCAACCCTCCCCCCATTTACCTCCCTCCACCCAGCCTCCACTCCCCTTCCCTCTGGTCATTGGCACACTGTTGTCTGTGTTTATGCATTATGCATATATGTTCTTTGGCTAATCCCTTCCAAAGAAACCTTCAGTTGGTGGACTAGATCCCCCAAATGGCCTTTCTGGTAAAATGAACTGATAAAAAGTGCTGAAATGGAAATATTTAAAAAATTGTTTTGGTTGTATGTTTCTTATGTCATTTTCTTCTACCAATTCACCCTCTTTTTCTTTTCCTCCCTCACATCATTCTTTTGCAGGAGAAACCAGTTCACTGGTCCTATTGACTAACCCACTCTCCAGATTTGGCTGATTGCTTCTGTGTGTGTGTGTATCATCTACCATTAAATTCTTCCTTTATGTTCAGTATTTTTGGTGAACAAAAAGTTTTATGGAGATACTTAATTAGATTCTTGGACAATTTTTTTGGGGGGTGGATAGGACCACTTCAGAGGCGGGGCTATGTTGCCGTTGCATCTCGTCGTGAAGCACACGGCCAACTCACGTTTTCAGTGACACTGGGATGATCAGTGCGTTCAGGGGGTGTCAGCCTGCTTGCTCCACTATGAATTCCCCATGAAGTTTTCACAGAAAGGTTTTAACATCCTCTGCTAATCATTGAACAGAGCCATTATTTTATTAGGGATCTATGGATAGAATTGTAAAAAATAACTTTCCTCAATCAAGTTTTCCGTCTACTTGAAATCGAATTTATGAAGGAAAGATAGGCTACATGCCTGAGTCTTTGTCCCAGCAGTCTAAAATAATGACCAGTATGTTTAAAAAAAAAACATTTTTATCCATTAACGAGTCAAAGAATAAATCACAATGGAAATTAAAAAAAAACACTTAGAAGTAATGATAACAAAAATATCACTCTCAAAACATGAAAGATTTAGCTAAAGCAGCACTTGGAGGGAAAGTTACATAGCTTTACATGTTTACCCTAATATAAGAAAAGGTTCAAAATTAAAGGGACATAATTCTAACTTAAAATGTAAGAAAAAAGGACAAAATAAAAACAAAATTGAAGGAAGGAAATAAAAGTAGAAAAATGATGGAGAGAAATATACACAAAAGAGGGTTCAACAGAGCAAAAAGTTGGATCTTTGAAAAGATTAAAAAAATTGACAGATTTCTGGAAAGAAAAAAGGGAAGGCACAAATAAACATTATGAAATTAAAAGGAGACATTTCTATAGTTACTGTGAAGCTTAAGATGGATATGTAGAAGATATGAATAACTATGCCCAACATTTGAAAACTCAGATAAAAGTCATAAAATTTTAGAAAAGAGCTCACCAAAACTTAATCAGAAAAACCTCATTATTCATACAACCATTAAAGAAACAATATAAGTTTAAAAATCCCCCCCACCCCCACCCCCAAAGAATGCACCAGCCCACGGGGCCTTTTTATTGGTAAGTCACATCACAGTTCCAGGAATGCACAATTCAAATAGTACTGACTTTACAGAACAGAAGCTTAGGAAGTATTCCCTAATACATTTTACGAGGGTAACATAGCTCTTTTACCAAAGCCAGATGAGGATAATAAGAAAGAAAAATTATAGGTCTCAGAAACAAAAGTCTTAAAACATTAGCAAACTACTACTGCAGTAAAAAGGAAATATATTGTGGCCAAGTTTGTGTCCATCTCAGGGGTGCAAGTTTGGTCAAACATCAGAAAATCAATTAATGTAATCAACCCACATCTATAGATTAAAGAAGAAAATCATATAATCTCACACTGAAGCAAAAAAAGTTTTCACCTGAAATTTTATTTCTAGCTGTTTAGAGAAACTTTTATGCATGTCTCCAGGAGACAAACACAAGAATGTACACAGCAGCATTGAAGATAACAGACAAAAACCGGAAAAAAATCAAGTGGACATCAGCAGTACAATGAACATATACATCATGATCTATCCTTACCACAAAAATACCACACAACCATAAAAATGAACATGCCTCAAATTAGCTCAAAAGCAGAAAAACCACACTGATTTAGGAATGCATGTACTGAGGTGAGACTCCAAGAAAGACAGCTAGTGCTTAACACCAATTCGGGCCAGTGGTTACCTCAGGCTGGGAGGAGAGGGAGGCTGGGGCCTGGGGCCCTGGGTCAGGCAATGTAGTCTGTCTGCTGCAAGGTGGTAGGCACCCAGGTGTTCATTTTGCTATTGGTCTTTAAACTGTATATAAACATTTTATAGCTCTTTTTATATGCTCCTTGTTTCAAAAAAGTAAATACGTAAAAGGAGAGGTAAGCTGATGTTGTCTATTTAAGGGAAGTAGGACTGAGACAATTTTTTGCCAGCAGCAGTGCACCGGCTGAGGGTCTCCCAGCGGGACTGCAGCTGGAGAGCTGCCTTCTGTCTGCGTGATCGTTAGCGAAGCTCTGAGTTGCAGAAGGCAGAGGACACAGAGCACAGGGATGTCGTCGTACTGCAGATTTTATTTCTTACCCAACTCTGCCTAATTCAAAATTTCAGTGGTGACGGTTGGATGATGTTGTGAAAGTAATTAATGACACTTGAGAAATGTATGTTTAAAATGGTTAAAATGGCAAATTTTATGTGATATATATTTTATCACAACTTTTAAAAAGGAAAAAAAAGAGAGAAGAAAGAGAAGTCAGTAAATACAATTATAATTAATTAATTGTATTAAGTAAATACAATTATACCTGTGAATAAGACGTCTCCACCATCTAAGGTTGCATTTTCATCTTTCATCTCTATTATATTGAGCTGAAGTTTTTCTAATGCTTCTTTCATCATGTCAACCTGTTGAAAATGATCCAGATTAATATCTTACCATTTTCTAAAAAGAAAACCAATCATCTAAAACTTCTGAACACTGAATCATGATCCCATGTGCAAAACACACACACACACATGCTTGTGATACATGAATATATGTAGTATATGGTGGGATGTGTCCAGAAAGTGTCCAGCCATGTACTATGAAAAATAGACATTTGTTGAAGAAGATAAAACATACAAGAAACATTGTACATAGGACAATGATGCCTCAGTCCCTTTCAAAGTAGGCACCTTGGGACCTCAATAGTTCTCCCAACTGCACCACAATGTTCCTTCTGTTCTGGTAGCAGAAGCCACAGAATGAATTTTGCCATGACACATTTCATGTCAAGATCCTGTGCCAAAATCTCGACACAGTAGCTTTGGAAAGCCCAGATTAACTTCTAGTTTTCACACTGTCTGTCGCTGATGTTTGTGGATTGCAGCCCATATGTGTTCAACATTTTCAGGTGTTTCTGCTTGTTACAGGCCTTCTAGAATGTGGATCACTTTCAACAGATTCTCAACCATCTTGGAAGTGTTTGTGCCACACTTTTATTTGTGCTGCACTCATTGCATCATTCCTGAAAGCCTTCTGAATCATCTGAATAGTTTCCACAGAGGAATGTTCAAGCTTCATGCAAAATTTGATGCAGACTCATTGCTCTACTCACTCAGTCATTTTGAATGTGATGGCCACACAGTATACATGCTCACTCAATGGGGTGTATAATCCCCACTGACTAGTACAGTAAAGTCATCATTGTTCACACATGAGCATTCCAGTCCACTCTTCTTGGCTACTGGGTTACATTGATGTCGTGCAAACCATTCACATTATATTAACAATGGCTGGACTTTTTCCAGACAGACCTCATAGTTTGGACCACCACAGCCATTTACAAGAGAAGAAATTATCTGTTAGAAATTGTCCATTTTGTCCTCCTCTAGTTTAAACTCAAGTCAATATTATAGTCCCCTTTTCTGTTGGGAGGGTAACTAGTTAGGACACTGTTGGAATAGCAGCTAGTTAGGGTGCATGAGTCAAGAAAGGTGGGAGGCAGAACAGCCAGTCCTCCTGCCCTTGCCAGAAAGTACAAGATTTAATTTTAAACATTAAGTAACTGTGTAAGAATTGCACACACACAGAGTAATATGTGGAAGGAATATCAATGTCAATAAATAGTACCTTGAAATCTTAGCATATAGAACAGTCATTATTTTATATTCAAATATTTTTTAAAATGTCAGAACATCTAAAGCTTCTCTGTAAATCTGAACTGTTACTTAAATTTAACCTAGGTCTTTAGAGGTGATTAACAAATACAACAAGTGCAATCAAACCAAAGAATACTTGAAAATGAATTTTAGGGCCTGTAATTCCAGACTGTAGTCTCAAGCACAGAGATATTCTGGGCTAAACTAGGGAATATGTTTAGTGAGGTCTGCTTTAATACAAGAAAACAATTTAAGACATAATAAATGCCCTTTGAAATTCACAATTTAATTCAAGTCCTTCCAATGGCTCAACAAAACAATTTACATGTTTCTGGAGGTCTGTATAATCTTTAACATGGTAAAGACATTGATGGAGAAGACATGGATAGGGCTATGGGAAAAGCAAGAGATCATGTGACATTGAGAAACATAGGTAGTTCTACCAAAATACATGCCCAGTTCACATAGTGCGTTGTCAATGAAGAGTTTAGGAGACATAAATATAGCAGAGTAACCTCTAAAGTAATAAAAATATGGAAATACTTTGACAACAACCCTGACACTCATGCAGTTAAAACAATGAAAAGGATACAAAATAAAATAAATATATCATCTCATTCTTGTCCTGGAACTCATGTAAAAATTCCACAAACTAGAGTGACTCAGAACAATAAAAATTATTTCCATAGATGAAATAGCCTTAATATTGTAATAAATACACCTAGTGACTTCTTTTAACAGCGGAATAGGTTTTGCTATGAACCAGGAAGTGGAAATCACTGCTATAGCATAGAAAAGAAGCAAAGCAACATTTACCATGACTCGCTGGGCTGCACTGAACCCAGGAAAACACACGACTGTTTCCTTCTGGCTTCTGCCTCTGTGTCTATGGAAAATTCATTCGTCTTCGACAGATCATGAGGACTGAGCCACTGATACCTTTTGTTTCTATCAAGGCTGCGATTGCTTCTGTTATAACTAACATTTCAAAGATTACTAGGAATTCAGCAGTAACACATTCTGGTGTGAAAAGTTTAATGTAATATCTCAACTCAGGAACTTTATTCAACTCTTAAGAGTTTAAAGAGAACAGAAGAAGGCCAGTATACATACCAGTTTAACAAACATTCTATTTCTTTAAAAGTCCTACGTCTTTTAAATTAAAGTTTTAGAGGATAAAATGCTTGTGGTTTCTTAAAAGTTAAAACAGCTGCACTGACATTAAAAAACTGGCTTTTGTGCAAGGGCAGTACTTTTTAAAAATATTCCTTCACATCTATATAAACAAAGTCATCAGGATGGGTCCATAGCACAAACACTGAAGATACTATATTACTTTCAGAGTTAAGGGTATGGATAAGTAAAAAAAAAAAAAAATTAAAGGCCAAGTAAACAGTTTTGAGAACTGCAGGACTACATGGCATCAAATCAGCAATGCTAACCACCGGGAGGTTTCTGGAGAAGAAACAAGAGAGCCTGAAACGGAGGCTGTCCACGGAGCACTGCCTTCTCCTGGCACAGGGGTTCCACGAAGCCAACAAACTCAGCTGTAAACAAGGCCCAGCATTGCCCTGACACAGGGGCCATCGGAAGCCAGCTACTGGGGCAGTTAGAGCGCTAAATATAACTATGGACATGGGAATTTTTGCAGGAGAAGATCCAAACCATGAGCCTTTAGAACTGCCCACCCTGTGGTTACATAGCCATGGTGAATGTTGACTTAATTAACTTTCAAGAGAGGAAAAAAAAAAGACCAAGCAACACACCCACCTTTCACAGAGACACCTTACAGAGTGGAATTTAGCATTACTCAGAGTGGGGAAACCTGTCAGAACAAACAGTATTAACTCCCAAGGCTGAGTTGAATGGGTCAGTTTAGCCCATGAAATTAGAATTAAAAAGGGTAAATTAGAGAAACAACCTTAATTAAAAAAAATTAGCCGTGAAATTTTCATACTCTATTGTAAACAAGACCTTTCTCCCTTCCCTTTTCGCTTTACATGCTTCGTTTCACCTTTTCACTTTATACTTGTATTTCTTCTTGTTCCGTCTTGCCTCCTCTCACCCTTTGCTGCAGATTCCTTTCCTGGCCACAGCGGCTTCAGATGACCTCTGCCATTTCTATCCACCCAACTCACATAGCTTTCTTTCCAAGAGCTGGTCCTAGTTTTGAGGTAATTACTTTTTTTCTCTTCTTCTTCCTTCCCTCCTTTTTCTTCTGTAGTACTAATGTCAAAAAATGCAGAGTTACCAGTTACACACTCAACATCTACCCACTGAAAACGCTCATATAGTGTGGTGTTCAGATGAAGGGCCTGGGATTCAAATCCAAGCTCTGCTACTTTCTAGCCAAGTGACCTCAGGTTGTCAAACTTTCTGAACTTCAGTTTTCTCGTTGTTAAAATGGGTGGTTAACCATAATGGTACCGACTTTCTAGGCTCCTCCTGACCATTAAATACATGTAAAATATTTAGTGCATAGTACTCAGTAAACACTGGATATTTCTCTTATTTGGATGAATACCAGCTTGTGTGCGCCCAGTGACAAATACTTGTTCTATGAAACTGACCCACAGGAGAAAACGGTCTCTTTTTCTCTTTACCTTTGGACAAGTTTCTCGAGTTGTGCCATCCCATGACAGAGCCCATCTGGTCTCCTGTAAATGAAAATTAGTCTTTTCTGCAAAGCTGATGTAAAGTTAGAGCACAAGCACTGAGGGCACATTTAAATTTAAAGCATTCCAATTTGATTTCCCTCCCGCTCCTGGAAGCTGTCAGGCTATTTCTTGTATTTCTCTGCTTTGAAATAGCCCCTGGAGGTACTACATACAGCAGCAAATGGGCCTGTCTGGTAAGATGTCCCACAGGCTTCAAAGGAGTGTCAACCACGATGATATAGAATGATTATGGTTACTAGCGGCATTGCCACTCAACAGGACTCAGTCTAAAGAATTTCCCCTTTTTCTTAAGGCCTGGTCTCCCTTTCTTACCTTTTCTGCTCTACTCTCTCCTTACCCCTTTGTGGTCCTCATTTTTGTTCCTTATTTGTCCTGTCATGTTCACATCATCATCCTGTCTTCTCACTGCACTCCTTTTGGGTTCTCACGGTAAAAAGACAGAACTGGGGGTTTGAATATAGTTTCTGTTACTTATTAGCTATGTGACTTGGGATGAGTTAACCTCTTAGGGCCTTGGTTTCCTAATCCAAAAATGAGGTAATATTTTCTAGCAGGAATTATGTGGGTAGCAAATAAGATAACACAGGAAAAGCATCTAGTTCAGTACCTGGCACATGATGATCAAAACCAGCAGCTGCTAAAAACAATCAATCAAATAAACCAGTAGTGGTTGATATCATTATTATTTTGTCCTCAATTAACTCAGTGCTTGGTTTGGATTACTTTCAAAAAGAAATAAAAGAAAAAAACATACCCATCTGCCATGTTAAATCAAACATCTTTTATTCCTAATTTTCCTGTTCTTCTTGCAAAATTTTCCCCCAAAACAATATACCAAAACAAATATAAAACTTTATATATTTTTAATTGGGAAGTTATATACAAAATTGCTTGTAATAGTGCCATAATTAGTTTAATATTTTATTTAGGTGCCAATGTTGTCCCATTGGCCTTATCCAAAGTCGACTTTGCTGCATACTTTAAACAATGTCCTCTTTGAATGTTTCATAGCTTCCCTTTGAAGGTTGTGAATGTTCTCATGAGGCCTATGGAACAGTCTGTGCTGAGGTTCCACTAAGAACCTGC